GGGGGGCGGCCGGGGAGGCAGGATACTTGAGAAAGAGCCAGCAGACTCTGGGAGGTTCGGAGCGGAACACACAGAACTGAGTCCTGGGCAGAACTCCGCTGGCCTTCCTGTGTGGTCGTGGGGGAGGCGGGCCCAGAGCTGCCAAATTGACTTCTCCGATCCAGGCTCCATCATCCAGAGGGGAATAACCAACAGCCAGATTTCTAAGAGGCATCTGTAACTATGTTAATGAGGAGACGTAAGAGAGGCGCCACGCTTGCTTAAGTCACCACCCTTTCTCAAGTCACCACCCTTTCTCAGGTGACAGCCCGATCTGATGTCAGAAGAGTGTCCCTGGTGTGTGGCCTGCATCACTGTTTATATTCCAAAGAGAAAAGCCAGCAGAGAGGCAGGAACCCCATTAGCACTAAGAAAGAAAAGCTGGGCGTGAAGCAGATCTTTTGGATCAGTGGTCCGTGCCCTGAGAACCTCCTCGACCCAGGACGGAACGCTGTAGCCCCAGAGATGGCAAGAAGGAGTGGCGGAGAACTGGCCACAGCAGAACCAAGAGATCGGCAGAGGATTCACAGCATCAGAGAGCTGACCACTGTCAGGCAGGAAGTTTGCTGGGGGGGTGGGGTGCCTCTGGATGCTTACTGAGCTTTGGGGTGCTTGTTTGAGCAGGACAGAGGCCAGCTCGAGAGTCAGAGAGGTCTGCCTAGGAGCAAGGCTGAGAAGCTGTCTTGACCGAAGACCTCGAGTTGTTTCTGATCCTGAATGCAAAGACCTAGGATTGCTAGACTCCCAGATGCAGAAGACATGTCCCCGGAGCCAGCAGAGAGAGAAAGCCTTCCCCCAGAGCTGGCACCCGGGATTCAGACATCTAGCCTCCCAAACGGTGAGACCATGTGTTTCTGTTGGTTGCAGCCACCCGTTGGTATTGCTGGTGTAACCACTCTAGATAACAAAGACACACAGCCACTGGGTGTCCATCCATCCCACTAAGGGACTTCCCCCTTCTACTCTACCAAGAACGACGTCCTTCTCCAGGGACTGATCTCTCTCGATAACATGCCCGGGAGTAAGTGAGACCGAGTCTTGCCATCCTTCCTTCTAAGGGACGCTCAGCCTGTACTTCTTCCATATTTGTTTGTCGGCTGGAGGTCCACGGTCTATTCAATGTACGAGACCAGAACCACCATTCAAAGGCACCAGCTCTTCTCTGGTCTTCCTTACTCGTTGGCCAGATTTCACATACCACGACTTAGTCTGGGTGCACTTAGCCATCACGATGACAGCTTGGCTTTTTAACACTCGACAGACCGAGGGCGCTCATCACTAGATCTGCCCAGTGAAGTCAATCTGTTGATTTCTAGACAACTGTTTCCGTGAGCATGGACACAAGTCAGATGGAAATCCTTGGCCACTCCACTATTTTCTCTGTCTATTGTGATGTTCCTTCTTGGTCCAATGGCGAGGGCTTTTGCTTTTCTCATGGCGGCAGGTAATCCTCCCTGAAGGCTGAAGGCTCTGATCTTCGTCACTAAGTGTTTCAAGCCCTTTTCCCTTTCGGGAAGCAGGGTGGTGTCCTCTGCATATCGAGGTTTGCTACCAGGCCCACAGACCCTTGAGGAGCCTGTGAGATGGTTCCAGAATTCCAATCCAAATGGCCTAACCCCAGAGACTGACTTCTCAGCCACGCTGTTGTTCTCAAATGCAGGATGGAAAAGTAGAGCGGCTCTTGATTGCACCCATATCAGAAGCAATGGATGTTGTAAGCAGATAGCTTAGGCGAAGGATTATACTATTTTACCATGTTTCTTGGCTTCTCGAAGTCTCCAGGTCCTTAATCCACGAAGGGAAGGATGAAAAGTATGCACAAAGTAGCGACTGTTTGAGTCTTTTTAGAAAGATGTCGTTTTTCGTTTTCCATCTCTGGCTGCCTGAGCTGCCATCATAAATGACACAGTAGTAACTATCCAGACCAGGAAATCCATGAGCAACCGACGACTTCAGCGAAAACAAATGGTCACTGCTGTCCTTCACCCTGGGGAAGCGACAGTGCCTAAGAGAGACGTCCGTGAAGCACTTGCCAAAAGGTACGAGAAGACCACGCCAGGTGTCATTTTTGTATCTGGATTTAGAGCCCAGTTTGGTGGGGGCAAGACTCCTGGCTTCGGCACGATTGACGAGTCTTTGGATGATGCGAAGAAAAATGAACCCAAACACAGACTTGCAGGACGGGGCCTGTAAGAGAAGCAAAAGGCCTCAAGAAAACAAGCAAGAACAGAATGAAGACGGTCGGGACTGCACAGGCCAACGTGGGGGCCGGCGAAAAGCATTAAGGAAGATTCTACAGTGACTTGACCTGCAAGGGTGATGTGGATTTTTCACCAGAGAATAAACTGTAAAACCAAAAACCAACAAAAAGAGATGCCACAGTCCTTGATCCATGACTGCCCTCTGGTGGTCAATTAAAGCAGTGACTTCCTAGCTGCCACACCAAATCAAAACTGCACTTTGCCATGGAACAGGTTCCCACAGACAGGCCCATGAAGGGTGCCGTCTCCCTGGGATCCACAGTCAATGCAGCCATGCACTGCACTGGGTGACTCTGCTGCACAAGGACTCTTTGGAGTGTTGAAAAGCAAGGGTGTCACTTTGAGGCCCACGCCATGGTGGTTTCCATCCCCTCGTATGCATATAAAAGTTGGGCGTTGAACAAGGCAGACTGAAGACAAAGAGTATTGACAGTACCGTAGACTGCCAAAAGAACAAACAGATGCATCTCTCTTGGAAGGAGGACAGCTAGAAGGTTCCTTAGAGGCGAGGCTTCGTCTCACAGGCTTTGGACATGCTGTCAGGAGAGACTAGTCGGAGAAGGACATCAAGCTCGGTCGAGTAGAAGGGCCATGCGAGCGAGGAAATGACCTTGACACGGTACATTGACACTGGCTGGACCCATGGCTCCAATCTAAGAACACTGAGGGTGGCCCAGGCCCCGGCGGTGGTTTGCTCCCTTGTACATAGGGTCACTATGAGTCCGGACTGGCTCAATGGCACCCAACAGCAGCATCAGAGGAGCCGTCTTAAGCTGTGGAGGAGCCCTGGTGAGGTAGAACGGGGTCAGCCGTCTGAACGCACCGGCCGTTCCAAGGGGGAAAGACAAGGCTCTCTGCTCCCTCAAAGAGCCACAGTCCCAGAAACACCAAGGGCCAAACAACGCCACCTGCCCGATGTGGTCACTACGAGGAAGAACTGACGATGGCCAATAGCTCTGCATGGGAAGGCGCCCTGGTGGCACTGTGGTTTAAGCATTGGACAGATCATTATAAAGCCCGTCGCTCAAATCCACCAGCCACTCTGCTTCCATAAAAAAGGTATAGTCTTGGACACCTGATAAAGATCACTGTGAGTTGGAATTCACTCAACATCATTGGGCTTAGAGTTTGGTACAGGACAGAGTAGAATCGCCCCCCATAGGGTTTCTAAGGTTACACATCTTTCTCCCTTGGCGCTCCCGAGGGTCTGAACCCCCTAGTCTCTGGTTAACAGGTGAGCCTTTACCCATGGCACCCTGGGGCTCCTTTCATAACGACTGATAGACCGGTCCCTGGGAAAGGACATCATGCTTGACAAAGCAGCACTTCAACTATAACAATTGTAAGGATGGTGTAGGACTGGGCGGTGTTTTGTTTCTGTGATACACAGGGTCGCTATGAGTCAGAACCCACCTGATGTCACCAGTTTCTGAAGCTGAATAAAGGAAAGCTCACTCGTCTTCTAATACTAGGATGGCGTTGGCATTAAGCCCGGTCAAAGCAACGAGAGGCGAGAACAATCTCACTCAGGATGATAAATGCTAAAATCCTGACCAGTCATCCTAAAGCATAAACTAGCACCTACACGAGATGCAGAAGGGTAAGCCAGAAGTATGGCTGCCAGGGGCCCAGTTCACATATGCACAGGCTCATTTCTAACAACAGTCTTTACACGGGTCTCTGTGATCCGTGGATGGTGCAGCCAGGTTCCCTTAGGGACACGAGTGTCTTCGTTTCATGACAGTGTGCCTTCGGACAAAAAGCTCCCATCCAAGCGGTGGCTTCCAGAGGCATGTGGGCCAGTACAGGCAAGGCAGAGGTCCTCTCTGAAGGTCTGGCAGCTGTCCTGGAGGACTGCAAAGGGCTCAAGGGCTGTCCTATGAGCATTACTCCAACACCCAACAACCCTGGCCTGGCCCCTTTAGGCTTCTTCTTAATCCCCGAGCTCAAAAGAGCCTTCTAAACAACCATAATTTGAGTCCCCCGAGGATGCCCAAACTGCCGTTCTGACATGGTGTCAATTGGAGAATGCAGAACTCTTCAGAAAAGGCTTAGAGAGGTAGAAACTCTGTATAGACCTTCCATAGTGTATAGACCTCTCTCTCTGCCATTGAGTCCATGCTGACTCAGCGTGACCCCACAGAACAGGGCAGAACTAACTGCCCCTGTGGGTTTCCAAGACTGTAACTCTTCAGGGAAATAGAAAGCCCTGGCTTCCTCCCAAGGAGGGCTTGGTGGTTTTGAACTGCTGACCTTGCAGTTAGCAGTCCCACACATAGCTACTTCACCACCAGGGCCCTGTGTATAGTCCTAGATGGAGGTTATGTCAAGAAACCACAGCTGCACATCTTGATATTTTTGTTTAATACAGATTTTTATGATTGATAGATGCACTTTTTAAATTATTCTTGTAAATAGTAATGTTCTTATTGAATGCTTATTAGAATATCAACAAGAAGCAAGTCAAAATAATAATTTATAAATTATCAAGGGTTCATGAGGGAGGGGCAGCGGGGAGGGAGAGGGAAAAGAGGAGTTGATGCCAGGGGCTTGGGTGGAGAGCAAATGTTTTGAGAATGATGAAGGTAATGAATGTACAAATGTGCTTGACACAATGGATGTATGTATGGATTGTGATAAGAGTTGTATGAGCCCCCAACAGAATGGTTTAAAA